TAAAAGCGATCTAGGATGCTTCCTATTGAGCCAGGAGCTTCTGGCCGATCGCTCCTATCACCAAAGCACACAAGCTTTCCCACAGGTTAAGGAGCTTCTTAACCTGAGCCCTAAAAGCAAGCTCTTGTGCGCACCTCTGCGCATCCTCCGCTGACGGTAAAGAAGCAGGGAGCTTCCTGCATCCCACCCACAGCAAAATCAAACATCCCGATCTCCGCCCGAAGAGAACTGAAAACTAGACGAACAGCTGACCGACAATAACACGCGCTCCGAGACCTCTCACACCGTCGCGCTCGCGCGCGTCTACCACCGCGAACGCGCCGGATTCACCGGAAAAGACTGCGAGCGAGTCTATTGTAACGATTCCCGGAATCCGCAAAGCTTTTTGCGAAACAACAAACACAACATTTGTACGTAAGACCAGATTCCGGGAAAACACGCTGTAAATATCGTACATAAGAAAACCCAGTCAGTATCTGTAAATAAGTCAGATTACTTTTAAATATAAATACGTGTACACAACAAATTAGCATCTATATTTTATTTTTCTCCGAGTAATCTTGACCACACCCGACCGACGTCATCCCGCGAAACATGCCGGTCCAAGAGTCGCGAGGAAGTGGAAACGTTTTAATTATTACAAGCATCGATATTATTCAAATGTTCTGCAAAATCGGCAATTGCTTTCCATGTTTCAGTACCCAGCAAACAAAATGCTAGCAATTTGCTAGAAAATTGGCAACAAATTCGATCAAATATTGGCTGTAAATTCATAACCATCTGTCCGCATTAGGTTTGGGATTTGTCGACAAAGCCTGCTGACATGCTATGCCAGAAGATTGACGGCAGAAACCGAGCAGAACCTATTGACATACTATGCAAACAGATTGATGACAGAAATCGAGCAGAGCCTGCTGACATGCTATGCGAACAGATTGGCGGCAAAAATCGAACAGAGTTTGTCCTAACTTCCTTATTGGATGATTGCATCAAATGTAATTACGTCTTGCATTATACATAAAAATACGTAAATAATAAATGTATGTTTAAATTTTGATTATGATTTCGCTTATATAGAAAGTTTGATAAATTTTGCATGCGAGAAACGCCATCTAGCAGTAGTTTTCCAATTATTGTGTTTAAATATGCATAATGACAGGCTCTGCTCGGTTTTTGCTGCCAATCTGCTGGCATAGCATGTTGGCAGGCTTTGCTCGGTTTTTGCTAGCAATCTGCTGGCATAGCATGTCAGCAAGCTTTGTCATATTTTTGAGGAGAATTTGCTCACATTGTCAG